CCATCCTCCCCAGCCCCGCGGGCCCTCCAGCCTCGTGGGACTTCAGCTCCCCTCGATCTCTTCCCGGCCCTGCCCGGGAGGGGGGGTAATGCAGCGCGGTTCAATCGCGTGGGACTACAACTCCCATCCCTCCCCCGCGGCCAGGATCGCTTCAGGGGACGAGGAGAGTGCGAGGTCCATCGTCCCCGCCCGGCCTTGTCCCCCAGGCCTTCTGGGGGCGCTGGAGGAACAGCTCCCAGGGTCCCCACGGAGAGCGTGGCCTTTGGAGTGGGTGGAGGCTGATGGGAGTTGTAGTCTAAGGTGGGGGAGCTGTTTTGGGTGCCCTCGTGGATGTCTGCAAGGGGGCTCTTGGTATGGGGTGAGGGGGTGGAGACCAATCTCTATCCACACCTTATTATCTTGCAGGGGTGGAAGGGGGGCTTGCAGTGCTGGAGACCCTCCCCCTAAATCACCCTCCTCTTCTGGGCTCCAGGAGACCCCTTTCCAAACCCGGAAGAGAAGCCCCCCCCACGTCGGCGTGCAAAAGGAGGGGCCTTTCTTGCAAAGCCTCTTCAAAGCCTTCTTGGATGCTAAAAGTTTGGGGATTGGCACGCCCCCTCCCTCTATTACCCTCTGTGTAAAGATGTGCCCCGTGCTCAAAAGAGGGTTCCCCCCATAGTGAGGAAGGAGAACAAAAACCATAAGCATACCCCCATGGTTTAGTAGAAGGGGACTGGGGTTCGGCTAGATAGATTCAGGGGCAGGAGGTAAGACTTCTTTTGCTTAAAATACTTCCTAAGTCCTTTATGGTGACAGGATTTGGGGATGGGGCAGAGAGAAGACCTGCATCTTCTTAAACCTTCTAATGATTTTAAACAATAGTTTTTCTCAAGCACGTTGTCTGTTTTTGAAGAACAAAGCATGCCACAGCAAAAAACATTGCAGAAAAACTTTTTTTTCCCAGGAGCCTTCCAGGAAGCAGAAAAACATTGATTGTTTTTTATTATTAGAAAAAGAGAAACACGAAACGATTTTTCCTGACACAGAACTGTTTGCCTTCTCTTCTCCTTTGATATGCTAATGGGAAAGTCTATCGCCCTTTTCCCAAACATGCCTTTTCTATGACTCTTATGAATAATAAAACTTGTTTCTTTCAGTAGCTGGGAAGTTATACTAAAGTTTAGAATCTGTCACCAAATTTTCCCCTCCCCCCTTTTGAATTATTTATAATAAATTTTGGGGGCAGAAGTTATTCATTTCAAAGGATACCCTTAAATATATATACAATGACTTCCTGATGTTTTATCTCTGGAATGTGTTCATGGCTAGATCCACATACCCTGAAATGTTAAGAGCATCAAAGCCAGGTGAAACGTCTGCCGGGGTGAGCTTTGCATGCAGAAAACTCCAGGCACTTGTCCAAACTCCTGGATAAAATATACGCCCATCAATGGCATGTGCTAATTTTCTGGCATTTAGGAAGAGCGTTCCCTTCAAGTGGGTTCTGTGGTTGCACGCCAGTTGGGCAGTGTTTTCTCAAGTAATGACATGATCATGTTGAGTTGAGTAAATCAACTGTCATGGGAGGTTCTAAAAACTTGCCATTGAAACTGGTTATTATAAAACTCAGATAATGAAATTGTCCCCTGGCATGGATATCAACCAAGATCAGCTCCCCACTTGCTAGCAGAGGATGTATTTAATATGTGCCGCGCATAAGTGGATCCTGAGAAAATACTGAATTTTTGGCCTGGTTCTATATTGTCCCCTACTCAGAAGGGCTAGAACCCCACCTCAAAAGGCTGGAATATTTATCTCACAGGTGGCAGGTAAGGAAAACAGAGTAATTGTTATTAATTCCTTGACTCTTTGTAAGGCAGATGATTTTTGAGCTCGTTGTCTTGACCGAGCTGGTCTGCTGAATGTAGGAGGTGAACTTCATTCCACTTGGTGGGTAGCAACTTAGCACAATGCTAAATTATATCTGGTAAAGTTGGTGATAGACAGACAGAGCCCTGCTTTTTTATCTTGTATCAGTGAAAGAGCTGAAATGTTGGTCTTGGGGAAATTTCAAGGACAAATTTGGTACAAGGGCACCCCCATGCCAAAACGAAAACAAGGTAGACTATTAGGAGACTAAGTGTAGTGTTTGTTTTCTGTGGCCACGTTACAATGTTTGCCAAGTCAAACAACCTATGGGAAATATGTAAATAGCAGAAATCTTCTGTTAAATGTTTCATTTGGACTTGAATTTCAGTCGAATTTTCAGTCAGTTGAAAGTCGAGATTGCCTCATTGTTTTAAGAAGAAAAGGGTAGGTTTTGATTAATTTTTGCAGTTACACATAAAGAAAGATTGCACATAGAACTGAAAAAAATACTTCAAACGGCAGATTCCTGAACATCTAGATATCTGGACTTACTTAATAGTTTGTTTAAATACTTCTTTAAAAGGTTGTTGTATGGGTTTCATCCAATTTTCAGTAGACATTTACAAGTTACTGTTGGTCCCAACTACATATTACCATCTTTTGGAGTGGATGGATAACAAATCTAATAGTAATAATAATAGTAATAGTTAGGCAGGCTATATGATAATGATACAGCAAATGTCTGCAAAATTTGGATTGAATGGTATTATCAGTTTCACATGTTGCAGGGGGAAAAAAGGCCATTTGAAGGCTCTGTTGACTCCTCTATAGACCCGTCTATGCTTTTCAAAGATTATGTGGACATTTTTCCCCTGCTTCTTTTGCTACGGATATAACAGGAAATGACCTTGTGAAAGTGTAACCACATCATTAAAACTGTTAAAATTTCACCTAACTTGAAGCTGAACCTAACCGATTACAGGGTCTAAAATTCCAAGCAGTTTTTCACACTGTAGGGAACATGTATTTAGCTAGTAGGAACTCAGGGAAACCAGCTGAGTAATCCGTAAATTCAATAATAACACAACAGCTTTTTCCTCCTCCTCCTTCTCCTGATTGTACCCTGTTTTTAGCTCTTTCTCTACCAGATTTTAGTTTTGTACGGAGAAGGTTCCAGCTTCAGGTTAGTTCAGTTACAAGTTGTTCTTCTTTTTCTCAGCTGAAAGAATATCAGCAGAAGAACAGCCCCGTGTCAGCAGTGGGAGCCAAGAAGAAACGCAGAGGTAAAGAAGGAAGCCGCCCAGAGACTCCCATTAATGATGGAGCAGAGTCTCCTGAAAATGTAAGTGGTTTGCTTCCTGCCACCTTCTCCAACGTCTGTCACTTCTGGATTCTGGTTCTGCTTCAAGTAGGGCTACCAGATGACCATTCTATTGTTGCAAAGGCACAGGGAAACCTCTACATGTCATGGATACCTCCTGGCCCCTCGGATCTCGCCAGCCTAGCCCTGTTCAAGTTGCAGTTTTTAATATTGTAACTGATCCAAGTATGTATTTCTCTCTCTATCTCTGGCGCTAAGAAACAGCAGACAAAACTCTAAGAATTAACATTTGACTGTACAGTTGCACCCTAGGAGTTTGGAGTAAAGTGCCCAGTGCCTTTCCTTTGAATTTTCCGTCCTAACCCTGAATGTAACCATGTGCCATCGTCTTCAGTGGTGCTTGCTTTTCCTCTTAACTCTCTTAGGATCTTGGCCAGGCTCCTTGGTCTGGTTCCTTTAGCTTTGGGGATCGACGTTCTCTTCTGTCCCTTTTTCTCAGCTATTTCTCTTCCCCCCTTTTCTTTTGCTCCTGTAGATTGAGAACCTTCTGAAGGTGCTGGTGTCAGACTTTAACCGCTCCAATGGGGTAGCCATACCTTCATTGGAAAAGTGGAAGGTGAGGCAGCTTTCAGAATCTGTCCGGCCGGCTTGCTGTCCATACCGCATGCTTCTGATCTGGTCTAAGCCCGTTGAGGAGTCCTTTGTCAACGGTGATGGGGGTGGCTTTGCGGCCAGCTCTGTGAATGTCGGGGCCCTTGTTTGTATGCAGTTATTTTTAACCCACTTTCCTCTTCTGATACTCTCGCCAATGGTTCCTTAACTCGGTTCAGATTACAAGCGCAGCTGCTTTGAAATAATGGCAGGCATCTCTGGAGGGATTGGCTGGAGAGAAATATCCCCCCCCCCACCTTTCCAATTAACTTCTCTTTCCAAAAGGATGGTGCATAAGTAAGTGGCTTTGGTCACGGTGAATCACCAGCAGGGCTGGACGGTTGAGATTCTTGTCTGCCTGTCAGTTTTTTGTTTTCCTGCAGAAGCATCTCTCTAAAATGGGTGTGTTCTTACATATCTGGAATCAGATTATTCATGGGAGGGAGGAAGGAGCTGTGTGTTTTTCATATCTACTCCTATTCTGAGAAGTTATGAAATTTGCATGTGTGATCTAATCTTATATAAATTGGTTTAATAAATAATAATAATAAATCTGGGTATACACACACACACACACACGCAGGAACGGCATACGTATGGAATAAACTTTTATGAAAACAAAATACTAGTTTTGATAGAAAGCCAACCAGCTTGAGTTGGCTGCAGTGGTGGAAGGTTTTTATTTGTTTTGCAATTTCTCATTGTGATTGGGGTGTGCTTGTCTATTGTTTCCCATTGCTCTTTTTATTAAAAAAACGGGGCCAGCTATACTCTACCAAGGGCGAAGCCATGTCTAGTTCTCGGGCGAAACGATTCCGCTGTCCGATCGCTCAGGAAGGAAACCACTGTAGAAGGTTGAGCTGAGCTATGAACCAATAAGGAGATGCCCCCTTTGGTTGCTGAGGCTCAACATCAGTGGGGTTTAGGTGGCCTGGATCTTCAGGGTTAGTCAAGCGGAAGATAAACGAAGCAGGGTCTTGCTCTTGAGAAGTGCCCAGTAAAAATGTTTGGTCTTGGGCTTTGTATTTTATATGATAGCTCTTGTGCTGTTTCGCCCTTTAGCAGAAAAGTGATCCCCCTTAGGTCCCCCTCCTGTTGCGTTGGTTCAGATTCATCTCCTGCCCTTCCTCAGAGGCGTTCCTGTATGCCCGCCCTCTCGCATTTTGTCTCAACAACCCCCATGAAGTCAGTCATAGCGACAGCGGCTGCTGGTGTGGTGGCACGCAATTGGGAGCTGGTCTCTGGACTCTCTGCCTTTCACGACATTGTGCTTGGATGGTGTGAAGTGAGGAGTGTTGCCTGTCTGCACATCAAAGCTGTGGTGACAGGCTGCTCCCCCAAAAGAAGCCTGCTTGGGGTCCTCCCTCACATGACAGTTGGATGAAAGGTTGGATGAACTCCTGCCCAGCGCCCGTGTCTTTAGTGGACAGCTTGCTGTTCTTCACTCCCCTGGGCTCCTCGTGTTAGAATAGGGGCTTGTGCATATTCAGTGCACTTTTTCTGCAGACTCGCACCTCTCTCATTCATAGTAGGCATGTTATGGTAGAGCTGGTACTCATTCCCCATGTTAATTGCAAGAGGGGGCCTGCCCCCTAAGGACTGTGTTGGCTGCAGAACAGCTTTTAACAGCATTGCTCACTTAAGGAGAAGAGGGAGGCTGCCCAAGCACCTCATTGATGGAAAATCTGATTCCAGAAAATGTTGACTATGAACGCTTGGCACTGTTGGGCAGGAGAACTGAACCCTGGTGTCTGATCTTATGCTCTTGGCAAGGTTTTTGTTTTGTTTTACGACATTGACAGGAAGAGGCCTCCTGCTTCTTCCCTTGGCGTTAGGCCTAAGCTAAACAGGGACCTGTCTAAACAGACAGTGGGGAAAGCGTCCATTTGGATTTGCCAGGGCATCTGAGGTTGCCAACGTACAATCTTGTCTTTGTTGGGGAGCTGTATGTCACAGGCATTCTGTTGGAGACTGTTTCTTGCCTGCATTGTTGGTTTGTTGGCCACGGAGTGGGAGAAACAGCACGAAGTATGTGAATGCTTTCAGATCGGAAACTCTGTGATCTTGGGAACGTGTGCCCAGATCTAATCAAGCAGGCTGAAAGTCGTTGCTAAGATTAACAATCCTGGTATTTAACTACATTAAATGTGATAACTAACCCTCACAGAAGAGGTGTTTAGTGATTTTAATGGCAAATATCAGCATGACCACAGTGCCTTGTGAGGCAGAAAACCTTCTCCATCCAGGTCCCTCCCAAATTCTCTACCTCTTTCTTCTGTTTATATAAGTAGAGCTTCATTTGTGAGTTCGTTCAGGCTGAATGTAGTTCCCCCTCCTGTGATTTTCCTTAGTTGTTTTATTTTTTAATAAAATTCAGGTCTGGAGTTAGTGACAACCAGTACAATTAGGCGTAACAGTCAATATTTCTTGTAATAGTTTTCTTCCTTTTTTTTTTTTTTGGTTAAAGGGGCAATTTAGCATTGTCTCCCTTGTACCTAACTTCGCAGCCCTCTGAAGTGCAGGCTTAATTTCTCTATGGAAGCTTCAGCTGCCTGCTTCCTTCCCACCTGCCTAGTGTGTTTAATCCTTGGGATGTGTTTTCTGACAGGCCCATTATGATGGTGAAATCACTGCTCACAAAGCTGAATCGCTCGCTGCCGGCGTCCCCCTGCTGTCTAACAGCAACAATTTGTCTGGCTCTGCTGCTCCAAGTCCTGGCAGCGTGCAGCTGTCACAGGTTGGTTTGTACTTCTCCCAGGACTCTTAAGTGATGTTTTTTTCCCCTTACAGTGTGCAACACAGGGCTGTCAAATGCAATCCCCTGGCTGGACGTTGGGGTTCCTCTTGCACTCACAGCTCATGCTCAAAGAGCTGGTGGGAACTGTGGCCAAGAGAGCCTTTGTACAGCTCCCATCTTGGGTGCCAGTTGTGACCTTTCCTGGAACAGCAGGCATGGCTCAGCGTCACTGATTCCGTAATCATCCCTCGATTGGGCTATTGCGGTGTGCTTTGCTTGTAGCTGTCCTTGAAGAGCATTCAGAAGCTGTAGCTGGTCCAGAATGCAGCCCACCTGCAGGCGTCCATGTAACATCTCTACTTTGAGAGTCGTGGGGGTTGCCAGTTAGATTCTGGGTGCAATTCAAGATGCTGCTTGTCACCTTTAACGCACTTCAAAATTCAGGGCCTTGTAGCTGCAGGAGCATCTTCTCCCTGTAAGCGTTGCCCACCTTTCAACTAGAAATTGTTGTCTTCAAAGGCATTCCTTCTCAGTCGCCACCCACTTCCCTGGAATCGCCTTCACCCCCATGTGCAGTTGGCCCTTTCCTCCTGGCTTTTGAAAAATGGGTGAAAACCTGGCTGTTCCAACAAGCCAGGAGGATTGGCTTGTTTTAATGTCCTGTTGGGTCACTATTCTGCTCAGGGTTGCTGCTTTTGAGTACCTTATAAGCCCAGTAACTGGACAAACATGTACAAAGTTGGCCTCCCATCGTGGGAACTAACTGTGTTATCGTTGGCGAGTCCCTCTGCAGTTTCCTTCGATAAAGGGAAGCAATTCTGCAGTTGGCAGAGAAGGTGTGAATGTGAGTTGGTGCACCAGCAATTCCTTTTCTCCATCTCGGTTTCTTGAGCAGAAGGCACATCCCTCTAAGCATGGTTTTACACCTGATTGTGCACGTACTTGCACAAAGACCCAGGGATACGGAGCCTTCCCTCACATGTCCTCTCCCGTTTCAGAGAACAAACACTTCATCCTTCCTTTCTGCGCCCTGGAAGGTCTCCAGCGGTCGCCTCTCTGTGCCAGTCTCTGTTGGAGGAAATGCATGTCTCTCTCCGCGTACATGTCCATGAGCTTTATGTGCTATTTGAAGCATAATTTTATGGCATAATGACATGGATCTCTCTGCTCCACAGATCTGCGATGCTGGTCATAACAATGTGCTGGAGGAAAATAGGTAAGAGACACATCTTTGTGTTTCAATTTCTATAACAGAATCTCTTTCTCCTGGTTCCCTTTTCCTGGCCACTGAGTATTTCCAGCCTCCCATGTTAATCCCTTGTCTTGCCTCTCCTCTAGGTCCCTCTCGTTGACAGAGAGTCTCCGCCAGCTCTCTGAACAGCTGAACGGCATGGTCAGCCAGGTAAGAAGCAAGGGGCTGATTTGGTCTCCTGGGTTATTTTTTATGCAAAGCGAGGGCTCAGGAACAAACGTAGGAGTTCTTGATAACCAGAGTTAGTGCAGTTTGACAGGGAAACAATAAAACAGTTGTGCCGCGTGGTCAATAGGAAATGTGTGGGGGTGGGGGTGGATTAAATATTTTCAAGGATGATCCTTTTTCAGGAAAAAAATCCCTCTTTCTAAGCAGAGAGTTGAATCTTGGAAGGCTGGTGTGTTTGAGAAAAGCAAAAGAATAATTGTTGGAAGGAGAAGGGAGTTGGCACAATAAAACAGAGTCTGCCTTCAGGGCTCCAAAATGTCCTTCAGCTTATTTTCTCATTCTTTGATTCACTAAAACACCAGTAGATGCTCTGTATTACCTTGAAATACCTACTGACCTGTGGGAACAGAATATTGCTCGTGTAGCCAGGCCCTTACTGTGACTGTTACCGCTCTTTTGCAGCCCACGGCTTACGTGAACGGAGAAAACATCCTGCCGTCCACAGACATGAAAGAGATGGCGGTAGGTCCTCCAGGCACTCTGTCAGTCAGTATTTTGTAAGCATCCCTCCACAATCTGTCCCCCTCAGACTACAACTCCCACAGTGCCTGTGGGCATGCTGGTGGGGGAATTCTGAGCTTTGCCTTCCCGACTAGAAGAACTGTGGGTCGGGGAAGGCCTTGAGTTTGAGAGACACATCCCCTTGGGAAAAAAGGTTTGCTCTTTTACTCGGACCAGAGTTCCAACTGAGTCTTTCAAACGGGAGACTTCAAGGCTGCACCTTGAATCGGAGGGCGGCATTGACCTTGGATGGGGTGAAGCATTTAGGGTGCAGTATGTGTTTCAGAGGAAGATCCGTTTGGGTCTTTTGTTGGGGAGGAGCGCCACAAAGCGGTGCTGATTTTTTTTCCTCTTTTTTAAAAAAGTGTTTTGCCTTTTTTTCTTCCCTCTTCTTCTCCCTCCTTCCTCCTCCTCCTCCTCCTCCTCTGGCTGTCTGCATGTGCCCCATCAGACCCGTTACCAGGAGCTGGCAGTAGCTCTTGACTCCAGCAATTTAACAAACAAACAACTCAGTGCAAAGATAGAGGAATTGGTAAGAACCAACTAGATCAACAGGTTTGGCTTTGCCTTGCTGCTCCTCTGTGCTCTCTGGGTTGCTACAAGGTCCTACGTTCCTTCACTGTGCCACAAGAAAAGGTGCCCTATGTGTAATTAGGGACTAGTAGGTTGGCATCATTCAGTTGTCCCTGTTCTGCCTGGAATTCAGAACCCCAGTTAAAACATGGATCAGTTTTATGTTATGTTTTCACATCCAGCCTCTGTCTGAAGAGTACTGACTGAGTATGTCTCCATAGGTCCTGTGTGAGCATAGGCAGCCTTGGCCTAATTTTACATGGTTCTCAGCAAGCCATTTGTTCAGACCTGTCATGGCTGATCTGACCGTCTCCCAACAGCCCACTGGTTGGGGATCAAGTTGAAGCGTGTCCAAAAAGAGAAGAAAAGGTTGGCCCTAAATTGCCCCCCGCCGGTGTTCAAATTCCTGACAGGTTTTCCTAGGAGTTAGATCTTCCATGGAAACCAGATCCCTATCCTTGCTGCAGGAGAGCGGGTAGAAAGGGACGACTTGATGAGCAGGATTTGCTCACTAATAGGATATTTGCCAAGAAGTAAGCAGGGGTGGGCTCAATAGAAGCGGTCAGATAACTTAAGAGACCCCAGGATGTTGCCATGGGGTTCTGTCTGGGGAGAGGGAGAAGCTGTAGGCACACACAAGAGCATCGGATGTTGAATCCAAGTTGGGTCTGGGGTGCACTGGGGAGAGTCGAAACGGGTTGAAAACGGCAGTCCAAGCCAAGAGAGATCCTGAAACTGGGGCTTGCCACACAATAACTGATCACCCCTGATTTTTCCTCACCTGCGCAGTGTTGACTATTTCAGCAAGAGCAAACCTCGCTAGACTCAAACAAAGATTGGGCGGCCACCTTTTCCCCTGCTGTGGCACCGTGAGCAAGCCCAGGTTGGCCTTCTTGTTGCATGGCTCGCTCCGGCTTCTCTCCCTACTTGCCTCCTTAAATGCAGCTAAGGCCTGTTTTCGGGTAGCGCAGTGCCTCGCAGTGTTTGAAATGCTCCTTCATTTCACCCTCCCCAGCTTGTTTGCATGGACTGTTTTTTTTCCTCATTTTTTTTTCTTTGAATTCCCATTTTTTCCTTCTTGTCCCATTCTAGGGGGTCATTGAACTCCCTTACACTGGACTGCTGCCTTTATCTGGACAGACAGGAAAACGGAGAGCTGTTGGAAGGGGTATCTGGGACGCTTCTCTGAAAAAAAAAAAAAAAGAAAACCCACATTCAGCGGCAAAGAAACGAAAACCGCTGGTTTCTGAATAGGGCTTTACGGAAATTCCACTTTACTGGTGGAAAAACGAGATTCACAGAGCCACGAAGGGAGTTAGGGGGGTTTGTATTATTGTACCGGATCACAGAAAAGCGGTTTAGTTAAACCACAGATGACTTAGGCAAACCGGGGACAAAAGCTAGTTTTAACAACTAGCTGCCTTTTGAATCCGTTTCCCACCATTGAAGGATAAACAGACTTTTCCAAAACCGAGGAAGCGTTTCATCCTTGGAGCGCTAAGCAGGAGCAGAAGAACTTGCGAATGCCAGGTCAGGGGAACTGCATGGCTTCCAGGTCAAAACAGAAACTCCCGTTCCCATTCGCCTGCTGTTTCCGCCAGGCTTCACCGTAGGATTTGATTGGCCCAAGCTTTTGTCTTCCCTGGGATGCTAGAAGCACACCAGCTGTTAGCCTGATGTGCTTCTGGCACTTTTTTATTATTTTTCTGCCTCTGGGCTCCCATCCTAGAGAGTGGAACGGGGGTGGCTGGAGGGCCGGACCAACCATCGGGCAGAACGAGGCAGTTAAATTCAGGTCACAGTTCCGGGGGGTTGGCAAAGATAGGGAGGGCCATACATCTGGTCTTCATGAACTAAAACGTCCTGCTTTCAGGCCTGGCGGAGAATGCTGCCCTACTGCCAGAATTATACCCTAACCCTCGGGGTGGCTGGCGCCTTGATGACGCTCCCCAAGTGACCGCCAATTATTCTTGGATCTATCTATTTTCTGTTTAGGAATACTAGATTGTAATTTTGTGATTTTAATTGGTTTTAACTGTTCGGTAAACCGCCCAGAGTAGTTTCAACGAGATGGGTGGTAACAAGTTTGATATATAAAATAAAATAAAACAAATTGAGCACCCAGTTCACTTTGGCAGGGAAAAAGGTGCCCTGTTTGCTCTTCCACCTTGGGCACCAAAACGTGGTGGGCTGGTGGAGCTTCTGTTGTGATGGATTGCAAAAATGAAGCTTTTTGCCACGTCGTAGAGCAGTATTGTCCAAACATGGCCACTTTAAGATGAGTGGACTTCAACTCCCAGAATTCCCCAGCCAGCATGGCTGGCTGGGGAATTCTGGGAGTTGGTCCACTCATCTTAAAGTGGCCAAGTTTGGACAACACTGTCATAGAGATATGCGAGGGGCCTTGAACACTGCCTTTTAGTTAAGCCAGCTGTTCATTGTATGAACATTACAGACTTTTTCACAGAGTTGTCTAGGGCAGCAGTACCCGGACGCTGGAGCGGCTGTTTCTTAAACAACTCTCAATTAACTCGGCCAGCTGCTTTGATTGTAACGATGGAAAATGCTTTTACTCCAAAAGCATTTCTGTTGCAACATAGCAGGGATTGGGGGACCCAGTTCAGTGTGCTGGTGCTGGCCCAGACATCAGAAATCGAGCTGTGTCGATCCTCACAAAAACGTTACAGACGTTGCCCAGCTTCAGAAGTGATCCTCCTTGTGTACCCATTTTGTTCCTTCCGCAGAAACAGCAGAACCAAGAAGCGGTGAATGGGCTGGAGAAGGTAATGTTCTTTGGAGAAGGGTATATTCCAGGGATGCAAAAATGCATTATTTTGCTTTCTCTCTCTCCCTCTCTTAAACTTTTTTGGGGGGGGAGGGTTTCACCTGTCTTATCTATAGTTAATTTATAGACACCCTAATCCTATGGATTGTTAAATGGGAGTTACCCCCCAGGGTAGCTGTATGGAAATTACAACCGTATTCCTGTTTATACTGATGAATCCTCCCAGAGCTAAATCTGAATGGGGCTTTGTAGTATGTGGAACAAAACACATGTTTTTCTTCCATTCTTGACAGTTCTGTGGCTTTTGATTAGGTACAGTTGCCCAGTTGTTTGCCTTGATGTACATTTCTATTCTGTGGAAGCTGCTGTTTACAGCTGTGCCATCCTCTTCGTATCCTTCTAGCCTACAGATGCGGCGTATCAGTCAAATAAATTGGGTGTCGACCTGGTAGAGTTTCTGCATGGATGAATATATGTTGTGTTTCCGCAGGAGAAGAAGGGGTTTGAGCAGAAGTTTGCGAAGGAGCAAGCTGCGCTGCGAGAACAGTTACAGGTGGGTGTTCCCCTTTGGTCTCAGCCTTCGGTGGCTGCCCTGAGAGCTTTCTGCAACCCACAGGAGGCAGCTCGGGTCTTTGGGGGGAAGGCGCGTTCTGTGCCTGCTGGGTCCTGAGCAGCAGCCCATGGCTCATCCCGCTCTCCTGCGCTTCCTTTGAAGGTCCACATTCAAACCATTGGCATCCTGGTCTCCGAGAAATCAGAGCTGCAGACAGCCCTTGCCCACACGCAGCAGGCTGCCCGGCAGAAGGCAGGTGGGTGCCCTTTCAGATTTCTCTTCTTGTTCCCTTCATTATTTAATCACCTGGTGGCATTAGGGACCTGTTACTCCCTTGCCGCTGTCCCGAGTCCCTTTGTCCCATCTTCAAAGAAATCCAGTTGTTTTATGGGCTCATACCAGCTCCCTTTCTTTGCCTTTTTAATCTTGGGGTTGGCCCCAAAGCTTATCCACCTCTGCTTTTTGTAGCAGCCCAGAGGTAGCTACCAAGCGCCTCTGCATCGTGTTGACATTGTAGGGTTCAGGCCCTTTGGCTCAGTATGCTGGGATCCAGACGCCCCTAACCTTGTTTTTCCTGGGACAGGGGAAGCTGAGGACCTCGCCGCTCGGTTGCAGTCATCTCGGCAGAGGGTCTCAGACGTGGAATATACCCTTTCCTCCCTCTCTACCCAACAGAAGCAGGGAGAGAAAGTAAGCATGTTCCTAGTTGCCCTCCTTATCTCCTCTTGCATTGCTGCTTCCTTTTTGGTGAAATAGGCCTAGTTCCCTGCCCAAATTTTGGCATCATCTTAGTTAGGGTTATGGGGAAATGTGGGCATTTTCTTTTGAAAAGCAAGCAGAGAAAAAGAAAAAAAAATCTGTTTTTTTAAAACAGCTCCATCAATCACACACTTTCCCCTGTTGTCCTTGTCAAATAGAGACGTTGTCTGGCAGCAGACCAAGGGCAAGGATCTTGGCCAAAAAGCTTTTTTTTCTCCAGCTTAAGCCCCTTCCTTAACTCCAAGGGTCATTTTGCACAGATAGAGCTATCATCTTTTGTAAGGAGCTGGTCTGGCTATGTAAGGCAAAGCAGTTCCATCGGGCGGTGAATATTGGTGACTGGTGCCCAGGGCAGAAGCAGAACTCAACTGGCAAACTTGCTCTCAAGTTCTGTATAGTGGTCTAAGAGATTTTGCCTAAAAGTACTCCCCATCCGTGCCTTTTATATTTTTTTAAGCAGGGAGGGGAATTGGCCTAGCTAGCCGATTTGAATTATTTTATCCGGTAACAGTGGAGTTATACGGAATTCTTAATTCTGGCAATTAAGGACCAGAAATGTCCATCACAGGAGTGAGATACCCCCCAGGCTTTCTCAGTTTCTTACTTAGGGACATTTCTCACAGCAAAATATTGTCTTATTTGAAAATTGCTTGTTTTGATGTGTCCTCCTTTTTTTGCTGGCAGCAAAACAAAGAACTAACAAAGGAACGAGATAACCTTAAACTGGAAGTGTATAAGCAAAGGTGAGATTTGTCCTTTTTGCTGCAGCATTATTGTCTGCGGCATTTATAGAAATGAAGGAGGGCTTCCCTTATTGTTGTGGGGAAGTGGTTTAGATGGTTGTGATTACAGGTAGTTCTCGTTGAGCGACTGCCTCATACAGCGACTGTTCACAGGTAGAAAAAATAATTTTGCGACCAGTCCTCGCGTTTACGACCTTCGCAGTCTGTAAAGCAAAGGAAAGCTGAAGTCAGATCGTAAGCACAGTCACAGTTTCGCTTAGCGATTGCTTCACTTAACGACCGAATTGCCGGTCCCACTTGTGGTTGCTAAACAAGGACTTCCTGTAGAGGTGTGCCAAATATTCCAACACATGTTGTTCCAAACTTTGAAAAGTCCCACAAGCAGCTGATCTTGGAAACATCTGAATAGGCCTGGTTTGAGGTCAGGCTGCTTCCTGAACCCCTGGAATTGCTAGTTTCAAGACTGGAACAGCCTCTTTGAGGGTCAGAAGGTGATGTCTTCCCCACCCAGCTGACGTGGTTGTTAGTTCTACAGAAAAGCCACGCGCTGTATACTTTCCTGGGGACAGCAGACTTTTCATCTGGAAATAGTATCTATGGAAAATAGAGGACCCCTTTTCCTACTTTAGGTCTTCTTCTCTGAAGAACAATGGGAAAATTGGGGGGGGGAACCCCACACAATATTGAGCAGCTGGTTTTGTATTGGCACAAAGTTTCTTTTCCCAGTATCAGTCCCACTGGGAAACCAAAAAACTCACGTGACTCACTTTATTGCGGTATTTGGTTTATTGTGGTGGTCTGGAGCTGAACCCGCAATGTCTCCGAGGCCTGCCTGTCTTAACTCCCTGCGTTGCTCTTTCCCTAGTAAAACTAGCGAAGAACTCAAACAGCAGAATTCCGAGTTGTCTGAGAAGCTGCACAGCCTGATCTCTGAAAATTCAGCCATGAAACTGGACGTGGAGGACTTGCACAAGAAACTGGAGATGGCAGAGCTGGTCATTCAGCAGGTATCAGTAATTAGTATTTTTGTAACTCGTGTTTCCCCAGCCCCCAAGAACCTTGTGAAGTAGGCTGGGCTAAGCACCCTGGGTCTCCCTGCTTCTGGTGCAACGCTTTGACCACTGCACCACCTTGGAGCTCACGTTGGCAAGTCTTCCCAGGATAAGGGGGTGGAAGAAGGTGGAACCACAAGGACTCCAGTAACTGTTGGTTTGACACCCCCGTCCCCGCTAGTTTTCAAGCCAGCCAGGGATCTCAGATGCTACTCAGCAGCTGCAGATGGCACTGGAGGAAAGAGCCAACTTGGAAACCCAAATTGCCCAGGTAAGGTGGATGTCCAAAGGGGCAACCTTTGTGAGTGGGCTGGGGATCTGGGCCTGAGGGCAGTTTTCCTCAGCTCCTCATTTGGGAACAAAGGTGGCCTCCGATTGGCACCTTTGCCCGACCCTTCTCTTTTCTCCTCCCTTGTTGAGCAGCTGTCAGAGTCCTTCCAGCAGCTGCAGGCTGAACGGGATCAGTACGTCCTCCGGCTGAAGGAGGAAGGGGGCATCTGGCAGCAGCGAGTCGAGCTCCTCTCCGAGCAGGTAAGGACTGCGGCTGTGAGATTCTCCTGGGATTTTGAATGATTTGGAGGTTGTGGCTCAGGCTGGCAAAACTGGGCTTCCCGCAGGTCCGGGCTCTGATGGGCGAGAAAGAGCTCAGCGGGACTCGAATTCAGGAGCTGGAAGCCAACCTCTCAGAGTTACTCAGCAGCCAGCCAGGTAAATGCCAGCACTCGCAACCGCTAATTCACCCCACCTGTCCTCTCTCGTCTTCTAAATCCAGTGACCTTCCCTTCATCAGTCCATAGCTTGGTGGAATCCCACCTCTACTATGTGCAAGTTGGGTGCTCCAAGATGGCAGTCGGGCAGGCAGGTGGGAAGGACTGCAGGGCCACGTTTCCAGCCACAGGACTTGCCACTGGGTTTCTGGAGAAGGGTTGGTCTCATCCAAGGACGTTAGCCATGAATAACCTGCCCCTCTCCCCCATTGGATTCCTTAGTGGCAAAGCCCCAGGACAGTCAGCCCCTCCCCGCGGCAGGGCCCTCGCAGACGGAGCTGCGTCTGCAGGAGGAGCTTGCTCGGCTGGAGAAGGAGAAGGAGGAGCTGCTCGGGCAGTGGCAGACGCAAGTGCGGGACAATGAGCAGCTGAGCCACCTCAACCGGGAGCAAGAGGAGCGGCTTCAGGAGCTGGAGAAGACCCTGCAGCGCTACAGCGAGGAGGCCGTGGACAGGCAGCAGATTCTGGAGGACATGCAGAGCGACAAAGTGACCATCAGCCGGGCCCTGACCCAGAACCGGGAGCTCAAAGAGCAGCTGGCCGAGCTGCAGAACGGATTTGTCAAACTGGTGCGTCCCCATCTGAGGTGACGAGAGAGGCCATGACGCCTGCCAGCATCCAGCTGTTGGCGAGATACAGCCAACCCCCCCTCCTCTAATATTAGGGACTTCTCCAACTAGGCAAAACATTCTTTGTAAACTATCCCCAATTCTTGTAGGGGCTCAGCAACTGCTTCTGATCCCTTTCGGTCATGAGACGGTTGTGACCCTGCTTCCGTTTTCGATATTTCCTTTTGCTTCGGGAGGGTCCCAAAGGTTTGCGCTGAACTCCAGTTCCCATAGTCCTCCATCCGTCTTGTTGGGGCATTATGGGAATGGAACACATCTGGACAGCAGGGGGGGTAAATTTTGAGCGTCCCAAGGACTGTGTTTTACAGCGTCTTCTCCATGTTTTCAGAGTGGAAGTCAAAAAGATTCTTGCTTGGGAATGTTATAACTCGTTGCCTTTTCAACTTCTTTCCCCACCCAAAAAAACCCTCAGGGTAGCCACTAAATGCCTTTCATCTTGATTCTGGACATGCAGTTCCGTGCCGGGGGGTGTTGTATTTCCCTTGACCGTCCCCCTCTCCTCTCCTCGCAGACCAACGAGAACATGGAGGTGACGAGTGCCTTGCAGTCTGAGCAGCACGTGAAAAAGGAGCTGGCCAAGAAGTTGGGGGAGCTTCAGGAGAAGGTGGTGGACTTCAAGGAGACGGTAATGCTCTTTTCTGGCGGGGGGGCCAGAAAGGAGTCCGCTGGCTGCGTTGCCCTTATGGGATCCCAAGCAGGAAGTCCAGTCTGTCTCCTCTGCTTTTACCAAGGGAGCAGAGCGTTTTTCAAGGCTGGCTTTGATGATGCTGCAATCTTCGTTTTTGAGTTAGGCTGCATAGCACAACTTTGAGATGGGAGCGCGGAGCTTCTTGACTCAGCAGGAACCCATCTCCTTGCTGTCAAACCACAGAACTGAACCGTTGGTTTGGAAAGCACCTGACTTGTGGGAGGCTGTGATAGTTCCTCGCCAGTGCCTCCAGGGGCTAGGTTGCAACTTAGATCCTCAGTCTAGATTTTCGGGAAGGCCACATCCATCTGACTCTTAAACATAAAAACATGGGTGAGGATGCCCTCAGGCTGGGGAGAATTGGTTTTGGGGAAGGGGGAGAAACTTGGGAAGGGGAATATGGCATCCTTGATCATGTTTAAGCATGACCTCAGTTGTGCTCTCAAGGCAGGTGGCGGGCTGCTCGTCCTGTGCCTAGTTATGCGAGAGGCTGGGGAGGGATGTCACGGGACTAGAGGTTTGTTCACTGGACGCTGGTTCCATTCAAGGTGGCCCAGAAGACTCACGAAGCTCAAGCCCTCCAGGAGCAGAGGGATCAGTATTTTACCCACCTCCAGCAATACACGGCGGCCTACCAGCAACTGGCCACTGAGAAGGAGGAGCTGCAGAAGCAGTACCTCTTGCAGACTCAGCTCATGGACCGTCTGCAGCACGAGGAGGTCCAAGGCAAGGTGACCGCCGAGATGCACTTCAAGGAGCTTCAGCGAGCTAAGGTGAGCCCTGCTGTGTGGCCGATTGGCCCTCTGGATGCTGTTGCTGGCAAGCAGACGGTTAGATCTAAGTTTCAAGAGCGTCTGCATCTTCCAGATTCTGCACCCAGCGAAAGCTGATTACTGGGGAGGGCTAACGAGTCTTCCCATGGCTCTCTTTAACTTTTCATCAGGGCAGGGGTATGATTTGGGCTTTGCCAGCCATAACCTTGTGTAGGAAGTCGAGCGGGGAGAGGAGATACCTGAGGAAGGGCTGCTAGGTTGAAAAAGCTGGCTGTGGTGAAAACCGGAAAGATTAGGGATTCCTAGATTTCTTTAACAGGCGTTGTGGGAGTAATTTGGATCTGCGTAAGTTGGACAGTGGGGTGGCTGCTGAAAAGACCTGCCTGTTTCCCCCAATAGGAAAGCTTGGAGTCATTTTCCAAAGAGAACAAGGAGCTCCAAGCTCAGGTCAGCCAACTCATGGCCGAACTGGACGAAAGGATGCTTCCGAGGGCCCAGGGTGAGTAAGTTTTGGACTGGAGGGGGCGTGGCGTGGCGGATCCCAGCCAGATGCCGGGTGTCATCCTAGCATCTTTCGTTGCTTTGCAGGGGATGGAGTGGAAGCTGAGGAGCTTCTGGAGGACCCGACGACTTCTCAGCTCAGCATCCCAGAGGATTTCGAAAGTAAAGAGGAGATGGTGGGTGTCTTTCTTCTTCTCACCTTCCATTAGCACTAATTTGGCTGGAGCCCAGAAAAGCGGATGGGGAACAATTTAGAGCCTGTGGCCACAGGCACCCCACTGTGAAGTTTCTCCACCTCTTGAGGATTACAATCTTTCTGAAGGTGTCTTTTCATTAGCTTCGGTTGAGGTGAATTTCTCCATGTGTTTCTGTTTCAGTCAGACCTCTTCACAGTCTGTCCTTAGCAGGGACGATGAATAATCTAAGGGTCTCCTCTCTTGCTCCCTGCTTAGTGTTTTATATTTTGGCACCCTTAACATCACACATCCTTCGTGTTTCTCTCTCTTTGGGGGGGTGTTTGTGCCCTTTGATGACCCAGATCTGGCACCGTGAGCACCCCAGATATATCTCCCCCAGTTGGCAGTCAGCAGAGGGATCTTGGTAGGCCTCCAAATAAACCTGAAAGGAGCCTCTCAAAGAGCTCTAAACGTGGGGAGGACAGAGCGGTTGCCCAGTGACTGTGGTGTAAAGAAGCATTGTCTTAAATTCCTATCACCCTTCCACTCTGGAGTGGCAGCGGAGAGTGGTGTTTGAAATTTAGCCGTGCAGTTATGCTAAAATCACACGGTGTCCCATCCTAGGTGGCCTTCTTGACCTCCGCTATGTCCCAAGCGGAGGCTGAGCGGGAGGAGATGAGGCAGCAGCTGGCAGAAAAGAAGAGGCAGTGCAGGGGCCTGTTGCAGCAGGTAGCCACGCTCAGGAAAGAGCAGCAGCTGCCACTCGCGTCCACAGGAGGTAAGGCGACTGGGACTTAAGAGGGGTACCTCCAAACCTGGCTCCACGGGCCATGGCTTGGCAGGGATACCATGCCCAAAGTCTGCTTCCTGGACAGCCTCCTCTCACACATCGCTGCCCCACCTTTCCAGGTTCTGCTGCTGATTCTGTGCCAGGAGAAGTCCACGAAGCCTTAAAAAGTGCCATGGAGAAGCTGCAGGTGAGCGTTTCAGGGTGGCAGGAACTCTTGAAATGAGAGTGGACATGTGGCAACTGAATCATCTCGGCCAGGGTGAATTCCTCACGCCCGAAGGAAGCCCAGCTGAAGCCCCCCGTGTTTAAACTTTAAATAACTACAGCTCAGTAATCATAAGGTACCCAGTTACATTTCAGGAGACTCTGTTTCCATGCTTGAATACCCTTTTTTGAAAAATCTCGGGCCCGTTTCTCACGGGAAACTACAGAAGCGCCCCCCTCCTGACCGCGCTCTCCCTCTTTCCGGACGGAAGTTCAGAGAAGCTTCCAAGAAGGGCTTCTCGAACTAGCACCCTCTTGCCAAACTGCCAGGATCTGCCTTTTGGGTGAAGGTGTTTTGGGAACAATCCTCTTGGCAGTTTTGTTGGGAGCGTTCTGGTTGTTTCCGCCACTTCTTCCACACAATCTCCTTGTCTGCTCCGATGTAGTTCCGATTCATGGACCTGATGCGCGAGAAGGCGGAGCTGAGAGAGCGGGTGGAAGAGCTGGAGCACCGTTGCATCCAGCTGTCTGGAGAAACAGACACCATAGGTAACCCAGATCCATCTGCCCGGTTGCGTTAGTTACTAAATATTGTGTCGTCATTTCGTTTTAGTACTGTGTGGGAGAAACGTTCCAGAGGGCTGCGTCCAACACCACCCACAAAAAAATAGCCCCTAATGAAATTCGAGTATGGTCCCAAGGCGGAGATATTCCCATAGAATTCAGAGGATCTTTGCTTTAATTTCCGGGTTTCCATCCATAAAGAATCAAAAGTTTAAAGTCACTCACATCTCCTCCTCCTTTCCCCTCGCTGGCTGCTTTGTTTTCTGCTTAAAACAAGCCAACCTATATATTAGATTGAAGTTCTAGGTCTCTAGCGCTGCACTTCCTAATTTGGGTATTCAGGCTGTGTTCATTTAAACTTTGGGGCGCCTTTAATAAGGTGCTTCGAAAATCCATCAAGCCATGAGAAAGAAGTAAAAATGGGCTGTTGGCAGAAATTGCCATTCCTCCCACAGTCCTCTTTCAGATGATGAATTTGGCTAGAAGTTTGGATGTGTCTGTCGGTAGCCAGAAAAAGGGGGGGGCGAGGGATTACTTTAAAAAAAGGTTATTACTGTGTGGGTGTAAGTTTGAATCCATTAAGAGAATCCTGTAGCTTTGAGTGCTGCTCTTCCAGTACATCCGTTCCACTGGGGTCCCCTCTCCTAACGCTGCAGGTGAATATATCGCCCTATACCAGAGTCAGAGAGCAATTCTAAAGCAGCGTCATCGGGAGAAAGAAGAATACATCAGTCGGCTGGCCCAGGACAAGGAGGACATGAAGGTGAGGCAAACTCTGCTTTCCCAGCAAAGGGCTCTTCAAAACAGGTTTGGACCCTGTTAAGTCAGGCACCAGGTTACCTGGACTACATCCTTGTTTCGCCAGTCAGTCCTTATTTAAAGCAGCGTGTCCTCCATTTGCATTTGTGTGTATTTCTCACTGCTGTCTTTCAGCCCCCAGTCCAAACACCTTCTGAATAAGAACAAAGGCCCTCTGTTTCTTTTGCAAGTAGCTTTTAAAGTGACTTAGGGGATGCCAAGAGAAACATTGCAGATGGACAGTGAAGTGGAAGAGCAGGGAGAACTAGGCACTTGAGTTTGTAGCTTAGCTAGCACGAGAAGAGGGAAAAGGTACGTTCCTGGCAGAGAAGCAGGGCGAAGCCAGTGTTTTATGCGCTGGGGGGACCTTGCTGGTTCTGATTTTCCCCTTGGTTTTAATTTTGCTGCAGATGAAGCTGCTGGAGCTCCAGGAACTGGTGATGCGCTTGGTCAGCGAGCGGAATGATTGGTACACAAAATACATGGTGGCGACTCAGATGGTGGAGCCCCGGCCTGCACCTGAGAGCGATGCTGGCCTTAAGGCTGACGGGCTCTTGGAATCGAACACTTCTGAGGTGGCAGGTGAGAGGCAGTAAACCAGGGGAGGAGCATTCCTTTTAAGGGGCCGTCCCTCCAAAGCCCTGCTGTAGCCCACATGATTGGACCCTTGTCCCTCCCCTTCCCCATCCTGCCATAACATACCTAGTTTGGCCCAGGAGTTTTGGTTTAGGGTGTGTAACTCCACAACCGAAGCCCCATTTCCCACCGTGCCTTCCAGGCCTGCGCGAAGTGAACCTGATGGATGAGCCGGAACAGGAAGCCATGGCTCTGCAATCCCGCCTATCTCATGGTGACGCCAAGGGTCCCCAGCCTGCTCCTCAGGACCCCACAGCCAAGCAGATCCTGCAGCTTCTCCGTGAAATTCAAAACCCTCGGGACCGGCTGGGCTCCCTCTTGGAAAACCCGTGCATTCCATTCTTCTATCGGGTGGATGAAAACGACGAAGTCAAGATCATGGTGGTGTAACCTGGGAGGGACACCGAGTGCTCCGTGCTGGGCGTCTCACATGCCTTGGATGCCTCAAGGGGTGCGCTGGGTAAAGCGGGGGGGAAGACTTTGAGCGTGCTGGCTACGAATCATGCAGAGTCATCCAGCAAAGCTTAGAAGTGCCCCCAACCACCAGTTGATTCTACCCACAGCCTGTGACTTTAACTCTGCGTATCACAGTTGCTCAGCGTCTTCCCGTTCGGTTATTCTGGGTTTAGTTAGAGCTGGTTCTGCACTTCTGTCCCTTTTGCTTTACTGCATGGTCAACTTCAGACCGGATCCCACAAGCCATCTCTGGCCTTTCCCTCCAAACAGTCAGCTGGCTGTCTTTCTGGGAAAACTCTGTCTCTCCCCCTGCCCCAAATCTTCTCCTTTTGACCCCTCATTCAGTTCCAATGCTTGGATGAGCTTCTGGCTCCTTGGAGCAGATGATTTGAGGGTGGGATAGAAGCTGCACTTTTAAAGATGATGTACTTTTTTCATTTGGGGCGGAGGGTTTTATTTATTCTTAAAGATGCAGAAGCAAATCACGGAAAAAGAAACAGACTTGGGGGTTGATTCCAGCTCTCCGTCATTGGATCTCTTTCTTCCAGGTTGGGCCAAGGTTATTTGAAGAGTTTTAAGTATTTTGAAATAAAGGATTATTATTCTTTCCCCCCATCTGTGAGCCCTAATGTGGAACTAGGCAGAAGAATTCTTTGTGAGAGTGTAAAGAGGCGTATCTTGCCTCCTGTTGGAATGAAATCGGCGGACACGTTGTGTGCTTTGCTCAAATCCCATTTTAGAAGGATGCGCGTAAGTAGGCAGCAAGAATGGTTGGGAGGTGACATACGGCCCAATTCTTAGCGTGAGTTCGGCTCGGAGGAAAGGGCGCCGGTGAAGTTGGTGGCTGTGCCTTCCACCAGTTGCTCATACAACTGCATTTTTGACAGGAGCTTCCTCCTCAGTTTTTCTAGCAAAATTGTACATTAAATTGCTGCGGTCTTCCAGGTGGTAAAGCAGAAGGAACTTGACTGCAAAAAGGAGAGAACGCCCGCAAAATCGGCACGGCCTTTGATTTGGGTGATCAGTGTTACTCCCTCAGTGTGTTGGGTCAGGACGCTAGCAAAAGCGGGCTTAGAGCCCCCGTTTGCACGAGTGTACATACTGTATCTGTGTAACATTTTGTATATACCTTGAATAAAGAAGAGTCCATTGGCAGCATTTCTGGCTGCTGGAAAGCTACTCATAACCTTGTATGATATTTAAAAAATAATTCACTTTGGTTGGGGGGGGAAGCGGGGCAGGAATGTGATTTACTGTAGAACATTGTTCAATATTTATTAGGTGTTGGGTTTCCAGGAATGTGAAAAGCGGGGAGCGGAAACAAACCCTGAGAGCGAACTCTTGCATTCTGTTGCCGAAATAAATTATCCTGTTACAAATTTTGTTCTTTCTGAATAAACCTGTTCCACTTCACCCACATTGCCTGTCGCTGTTTTTGTCCCTGGCATCTGGGGTGCATCCTGGGCTGCATTCCCTGCCAAAAAAGCTTCCGGCCGCTGAATGCTCGGACGGGGCGTGGTCTGCTGATTTGCTATTCTTTTTCCAGCCTTATATTCCTACGCACATACCTGTCTGTCTCTACCCGCTGTCTGGAGACGCTTCCAAGAAGGTGACCTTTGCATTTCAGACCTGGCTCTCTCCTAAGCGTGGATGCCGTTTCTACAATGTTATTCCTGTTCTACAAATCCCTGTCTGTCTCTACCCGCTGTCTGGAGACGCTTCCAAGAAGGTGACCTTTGCATTTCAGACCTGGCTCTCTCCTAAGCGTGGATGCCGTTTCTACAATGTTATTCCTGTTCTACAATGTTATTCCTGTTCTTTTGATAATGCTGAATGTGCACAATGTTCTTGCTTTGTCATTCTAAATCTTGCAGCATAGCTAAGGTGCAAACACATTGTTATCTATCTATCTATCTATCTATCTATCTATCTATCTATCTATCTATCATCTATCTATCCATCCACCTAAATTTGTATGCCACCCATCTCCCCCAATGGGTGACTCTGGGCAGCTCACAATTAAAACCAAAACCTCATGAACAATTAAAAATAATACCATATAAATAATTAAAATTAATCAATTAAAAGACTACCCACTGTTCACTCTACAAATTATCTACAATTGTCTGTTTAAGCAGGCTACTTCTAAGGGTTGGCTTCCAGAGCACCATTTTGCCTATTGCTGTTTACGCTTACCCATCTTTATCTATCTTCGCTTTTTTTTTAAACCCAAGGGGAAAATGTAAATGTGAAAAAATATATATTTGAGTTCATAGATTTTCCCAACTGGGCGCCATGCTGATGGTTCGACACCTGCCAGATCTGTTTCAGTGGAAGTGCTCGTGGTTATGAAATAACTTCTTTGTGTGTGGATTGTACAAGATGCTGCAAATTTTTTCTCAAGACTGGATCCAATATAGTTTTGGGTTCTGTTATTCCTTGGCAAGAAAACTACTGGAAAAGAAAGGGTTGTTAGTTTAACCCCACTGGAGTGTAAGCTGTACTGAACCTGCCTTTAGAAGAGCTGATCAAAATCTGTCTTAGAAGCTCCTTTTATTTTGCAACGTGGCTTGTTGCATGTAGGCTTCCTACCTCCATGACTGCATAATACCCTCAATCCTACAGACCCAAGTTAAAACCAACCATGTTTGGCTTCTGGTACAAATACAGCCATGAGCTCTTTATTGACTTGACTCAGCGTGTTGTGCGAAGACCACCAATAGGTGTTAGATTCCTAAAATGTCTTGCTGCAAACACTTTCAACATCAAATATGACATGCAAAAGAACTGAGAGAGGATTTTATTGTAGGCATGATGTCTCTGTCATACAGAAATAATTTATTTCAGCCAGTGAACAGGAGTTGACGGGTCATACACAGCATCACAAGTACTACCAGGACTGCAAAAAATCACCCACAATTTGGGAGCAATAACCCAACTGCAGCAACTGAGTTTGGGTTATGTTTT